GGTGAATCTCCCTCCCTACTTTGCAAAGCCTCGGTAAATACTTCTGCATGGGCCACTGTAAAAATAAACCTCTAAACCTGCTTTACTGAGTCCAGCCTGCCTTTTGACTATGACAGATTTTGATCTCATAAGAAAAGAATACAGTCGATGTTTTTACTTTGCTGTTTCCACTTTTGCTCAGTTGTCATCTTAGTTAATTATATGTTAAAAAAAAAAAAAAACTTCTTTTCAATCATACTTCTTTGCAAAAAGGACATCTGTAAATTCTACCTAAGAAATCTTGCATTAGTCAATTATTTTATTTTGTTATAATAAATTTAATTTAGATATAAACATGTATCCTTCATTCTGTTAGCACTTTAGCTGGGTATGGAAACAGGGTCATTACTCATTTGGTGTCCAGGTGCCAGAATAAATGAATGTCTCTGTCCACACTCTTTATCCTATGTATTAAAATAAAAAATGTCATGGTTAGCGCTGTGTGGCAGGTAGGGTGTAGGACCCAAACACAGAACACTCAGAGGAATAAACTCAAAACGTAGCTTTAATGCTCTACAAACTTTTCATAATGAAGTAAACTTCACGAAAAGCAAACCAAAAACTAAACCAGGACCACACAGGGAAACCAACAGCACAGTAAGAGTACTGCAGGAGATACAGCTACGAAAACACAGGGTTTATATGCACATGGGAGTGATCAGGGAAGGGGAGACAAGTAGGACACACTAGGACTTAAATAGACGATAACAGACAAGAAGACCACTAATAGGAATAGGAACTTAAATAGGAAGTATAACACAGAGACCTGACTGACCGGGGAGACAGAGGGAACAAGGAGACAAGACATGCCATGACGAGGAACATGAGAATAAGCAAAATGAGAGACAGGAGAGTCAGTGTAACAAATTGATCAGTCGTCTTATTGTTTCATGTGATACAACGTACATCATCTTTATTGCACAAGGGTGTAACCATCGGTTTCCTTGCTTCTGTCCATTTTCAGTTATTTCACTTTGTGCAAATCAAGCCAACTCTTACAAGTTTATTTTTTATTTTGTCTGAGATCACGGGGTCGGCAGCCTTAGCAGAGAAACTCAGACCTTTAAAACAAAATAACTGATGAGACTCTGACACTCAAATAAAACTGTGCACAGTTTTGTCAGCTGATACAAGTTTTTCTGAGTGTTGGACGTTTACCTCAAAATAAAAGTGAAAGAAAAAAATGAACCATAAACAAAGAAAGACATGAATGAATCCTGTGTGCACATTATGTTATTGTGTTTTAAAACTGAAGCCAAACACAGCCGCCTGCCAGAGTCGACGTGTTAAAGAGGATAAAAAGCTACCAACTGAAAGAAGAACAGACAACAGCAGTGTGTATTCCTATTTCTCTTAAAGAAATTTACTTGTTTTGTGTGTAGTGTTTATTTGTAAAGCTGAGTGTGACTGGGACTAATGATTAAACACTCTGTATATTGTGTGAGTTATGAGTTATGAGTCTTAACAGACATGTTAAACAGTGAGCTGGAGCTTTTTTTTCATTACGAAATATTCAGGCTGTTGTTTGTTCTTCCAGCTGATTATTAAATCAATCAGACAGTGACACAAAGCTTGCAGCTCTCTCTCCAACAAACAAGTAAGTAGACTTTAACCATCCTGTATGACTTGTGTTGCTGTACTGCAAAAGATGGAAAGAAATTAAGCAGAACTTTTTACGATTGAAGGACAAAGCAGCATCACAATAAAATTCTTACCGATCTATGAATGTCGGAGAAAGCCTGTTCTTACTCTTTTGGATGCATACCTTACGTTGTCTTACAGAGCGCCTAAAATCTTCATAATGTCTTCATATAACTGGAACTTATAGTTCTTGATGCTTGCTTGACCTGTGTTTCTCAAGTCTGCTTCCATGGAATTCTCGCAAAAGACATAAAAAAGACAATTCCATAAACAGTCTCAAAGATTTTATATATCAGTACTACCTGCATGAGAAAGAGTTCAGGCAGGGCTGTGGGACGTAGGAGACTTTCGGCTAAGTTTCTGGTTATCGTTTTTTTATGGACTCCTGCATTCTACCTCTTTACTGTTTTTGTCAAGTTACAAGATCTTGCAGCTAACTAAAATTTTCTTTGCATGATGATGTCATTTCTGATATGATTGTAATGTTAGAACTCAGAGGCACATCTCATGTTTACTTCAGAACCCAGAAGTAAACATGATCATTTCTATGAGTCAAAGGAGTATCAAAGAGTTATGTTAGTGTATGTTATTACATGAAGGGTTTAGGAGTTTCAGCTCCTTAACCTGTGCCACATTTTTTAGAGGGACCAAAAGCATTGCAAAATGTATTCAAAGGCTATTTCATGGGCAGGTGTGGCAGTCCCTTTTTTTATACCATTATCAATTAAGCAGATAAAAAGCTTGGAGTTGATTTGTGGTGTGGTGCTGGCATTTGGCATGTTTTGCTGTGAAAAGACAACATGGAGATGCAGAAGAAAAAGCCATCGTTAAG